TTTTTATAAACTAGTTATAGTACCACTTATTATAAAAAATAATTTTCCTATTTGCTTGCACTGAGTGTAATGAAGAGGCATATTAAATTTTGGATCCAAAAGGTCAAAGGTCAAGATCACTGACTGAAAAAAGAAAAGTGGTTTCTGGCCAAAATATTTGAGTTGTCTACTGTTACGTGGTTAGTTGTGGTTATCATTATCTACAGAATGATTGACCATTATATTATTGCCTGGATCTAGCAAATAAAATATAAAATTAATGAGTGGAATGATCAGATACCTGAGCAGAGATATAAAATAAATCAACACAAGTCTCTCTATGCTTAATATAACAATTTAATCAACTATATAAACAAGATGAAACTGAACATGACATTTGAATAATACACTTTCGCTGAGATATAAAACATCCAAATTTATAAATATAAAAATAAATGCAATTAGCAATGCCATGTATTCTTAAAAGACAAATTTCATCATTATATCAAATTAATTGTCAAAACTCGAATTGCCAAGCATGCCTCCTTAACCTGGCTATTTGCTGATCCTTCCTAATTCAACATGGTGACAGGTTAGAGTCAACATATTCCCTTTCCTCTTCCCTTTCTCTAGTCTCTTTTTGGGTTATCAACTTTAATTTGACTGTTACCTCCCTTTGTCCATTGTATGAATATGTTTTGAGCTACCCTTTTTAAAATCAATAACGGACAACCTAATTGTTTATCAGGATTTTCTTTTCTAGAATTGAACATTACCCACTCTCTCATATTGTCAGATATCATAATTTAATGGACACTAAGGTTAATATGGATCAGTTAACAGCCTGACAGCTGATATACAAACTGTAGTTCAGAAGAGTAATATCTCTCCCTAACAGCTGTTTAGTAGCCCTAACTGAACTATGAGATAATCTAGACCTCTTAGTAAACCAGTACACCCTGCTGTGGACTAGGCATCACTAAGTGAACTAAATGTTGGCAAACCAGCACTTTTAGCTCTTATAGTATTGATTCTCAGTTAACATAATTTTTAATTATACAAATGTGTTAACAAATTTCTCTTCACGTATTAACTATTCATTGGCTTAACATATCCAAATATAGTAATAACGATTTATAGCTTGAATGATTACTATAATTGAAGACATAAATTGACACTATTCTCTCAAACACATAAAAAAGTAATGCTTGAAATTCTTAAAATAAACAAGTCATAAAACATTCAAGAAGAATGCAAACAATTATTTATCTTCTGAACTCCTCAAAGGAAAAATTGGTGTCTGAACTAATAAAACAAGTAATTTTAAAGAAATAATTATCAACTTGCTTTAAAGAACAAATTACATTAGATTGAGACAGATCTTGTGCATTCACTTTCAACTATGTAGCATAATTTCTGTGTACCTTTAAGTTCTGAGTCCCTCAATCTTAGGACACCCTCCCTTAGACAATTTATAATGAGAATACTTTCTACTCCCTCAGGGCTAAGAACTTTTTGCCTCCTCACAGAAACTCTGATTAATTTTCCAAGGCAGAATAATTAAAACAATTAGTTTTGTTTAAGAAGCACACAACTCTTATTAACAACTCTTATTTAACTTAGACAATCAGGATTAAATTTATCTAACCAACGAAAATTAATACATGCCCATCAAAGTTAGAATAATTCTCTAATCTGTCATTATTAAACTGATTCCTGGAAAATTTTACTTTATGACACTTACCAGAGGTTCAAATGGCACAAAATTTTATTTTAATCATCTCCAGTTTGTCATTTTTCTACCTTATACCCAAATTCACCATCAATATGACAGTTTTCCCAATTAAAATCAATCATACCACAAGCTAGGTATGTTAAAACCAATACTTGCTAGTGATTGAAAACAGTAACTAACCCATTAGTCAATTTGAATGTGTTACACATCACACTAAATGCTGCAAAATTCACACAGTTAATCTATGTAGAGGACTAGTAAGCAGCATATAATGTGCCATTTATGGCAGCCTTGTTACCAGTGCCTGATTTAGACAAAGTGAGGCCTAAGCTATGGGAAGCTATAGAGGCCATATTTGGTATAAAATAAATTTGAGGGGCTCCTTCAGACTGAGTTCAGACTTTGAGGCTCTGAGCTGTAGGTTGTTTAGCTTATGCCTAAATCCAGTACTGCTTGTTACCGTTATTGCATATTCAGTTGAAGTCATTTAGATAGATCTTAAATTCTTTTGATATCTTTCAAACTTTTCATAAAAAAGTCAAGGTATATACAAGTATATGCGTTAGCAATGCATATAATTATTCATCACTCAATGAAGAAGTGTTATGTCATTACTTTATTTTTCCTGTTAGAAAAAGCTACCATTATTATTGGCTGCTTTGAAAATGTAAGCTTGCTTAAATGAATTTGTTTTATTTCTTAAAAGACATAAATGTTGTGGACAATATTTTAATCATAATGACCTTACTGTCTATATTTAGATAAATTATTGGAATTTATCATTGGCACAAATACTTGTGTCTTTGCAAAGTGAAAACTGGCCATTTTGGGTGTGTTTTGGAATTCATTGGGCAAAATGATTTTTTTTAATGAGCGTCTCAATAAATAATGTGGACGTTAAGCCCAGCAACTTGAATTCTTGTCCTCTGTCTTTGTTTTGAAAAGTTTGAAACATAGTATCCATATTTTCATCCATCCATCTTTCTAACCATCTGTCCATTTATCAGTTACACTTTCCTTTCTATTCACTAAATTTCAAGCCAGGAAAAAATGAAACTTGATATTCTTATACATTAGAATGTGTGTTGTATACCACATGGAGGAATCTTGTGTTCAAGGTCTAAGTCAAAACTTAATGTTAAAAATCTCCATCACTTTTCTCTGCATACTATAATTTTAAGTAAGTTTGAGCAAGGAATGACACTAGTAAATCATTCCAAGGTCTATTTTGTAAAGTTTTTCCTCATTCCATTCCACACTGTAACTTTAGAAATGGTTAAGATTAAGGGATGAGACTTGATATCATTAGGTCGTGTGTTTGATATCACATTGGGTGTTTTGAAGGTCAGGTTCATTGCTCATTTTTTAAGTTTTCCATCACACTTTCTGTTTCTCTATACAATATTACTGTTTGAGATTAAGGAATGCATGAACTTGTACATCATTTTTAGAATGTTGTTGCATACATTAGTGTTCACAATCAGGATTTTATCTTCAAGGTCAAAGTTAGAGATCAATTTCTTCCCTTCTCTGCACATACTCTAAAGACATTTTACAATAAAACTTGGTTACTTTCCATAATTAGCCTTGTAGCACAGCTGCTGTATCACTCACAATGGTCACGACTGGATTTCATTATTGTATACATTTGTTTATCTATCAACATGGAATTGGTGACAAAAAGTTGCTTAATTTGCTTGTTGGATTATTTTCTTCTATTTTGTGACATTTAGTACACATCTTGTTAGCATAATTCCTTAGAACTTGTTTGACTTGGGCAAGCGGTCTGTTTTATGCACATGTAGATGACCAGATTAAAATATATGACTTTTGCAATTTAAATTTTTGTCAAGCCCACCATGGCAATCAACTTGGCTTGAGTGTTCAGAAGTCCATCACTATTCTAGGTTAACTCCAGTGTTAAAGTTTGTTTATACCTGGCTTTCATTTCAGTGCCATTTTATCTTATCTCTTCAGACTTGGAATACAGTTTCAGTTTGTAATTATTTTTTGGCTCTACCATATATAAACCAGAAGAGCTTATGGAATGGTCTAATTGCTTTTAAATAACAAATGATTCCGATCTGTGGCCAAGTATGGTCATCAGAGCAGCCATCTTTAAAATCTTTTTATTGGTGGCGCTCTATGTTTTCATATTTTGCATAAAGTTAGAATTTTAAGGAAAGGAATTTCACCTGGGTTTCCTCAATGGTTATACTGGCTATTTAAGAAAGACCTTATATATCTTGGTATTGTTGAAAGAACCTTTAATTCTCTTTATTTTGGTGTATTTTTGTGTATGATTGATGGGAATAATATGGATTACTCTTTTAAAAAAATAGATACACTAGGTCATTTTCACTTCCTGGACTTAAGAGGTAAATTGTAAAAAAAAGAGCTGATAACTCTTTTTACATTTTATATTTTTCACAATTCATACATTGCATATTCACAAGCTGGTATTGTCTAGTTGGGCAAAATTCATTTTTCAAATTTTAGCAGGTGCTAAAGATAGTATAATTTAGACTAATTGAGGCTGATTTTAATTAGAACAAGTGATTTTATTTAGAACAAGTGATCAGTCATTTTTGTTAGCAATGTGCTTTGATTATGTATAATTTCTATCATGTATAATTTTCCTAATTACAATATTCAAAAAAATGTCAGCCACATTACAACAAAGTTTAATAGAAAATGAAAATGGTGCCAACTTTAGGCCCATTATGTTCACCACAGTGGCTAGTGTGGTTTCAACACTAGGCAGTTAAAAGGAAGATCATATCTAGTAGAATTCCTGAGAGAAATATTTCAGCCAGCAAAGCATCAATACCTACCGGGGTCTCTTTTTATCTAGCATCATCCAAGTACTTAGGTCAACCCATGGCATGAGGACCTTTTCCTTTGTTTTCATAATGATAGCACATTACCCTGGAGTTCTTTTCTGGGTTAGGGTAGCAGTACATTTAACACTTTATTGGATTCATCATGATGAGGAAATGGGAGCTAAGCTCCTTTCTCAAGGAAATCATGGCAGTCGACACATTCTGGCCTGTTTGGGTACCGAGACCCTTGGATTAGGAGTCTGTTGCTCTACTAACTAAACTACTTTTTAAGTTTGGCATTGAACTTGATAGTAAGGATTTTTTTTTAAAAAAACTTTTGAAAATTGTTCATACTTAAGAAATATGGTTAGTTTCTTAAGTACAATTAACTAGACAGTCATGTGACTGGATATAAGGGTACATACTTATGCAGGAAACATGAATTTACCAAGGTAGGTCAGTTTGACTAAACCGCTCCGGTGGCCTAGTGGTTAGAGTGTCCGCCTTAGGTGCGGAAGGTCGTGGGTTCGACCCCTGGTCGAGTCATACCAAAGACTTACAAAAATGGCACTAACAGCTGCCTCGCTTGACACCCAGCAATAAGAGGTTAGTGTTAGGACTGATTTGCCTGTTGTCAGGATAATGTGACTGGGTGGGACATCATTCTACATGTCTGCTGCATGATGCCCCAGTGCTAGACATCACTATAAACTGCCACACCACTGCAGATACATCAGTTTGACTACATTACATGCTTCTCTGACTTACGGTTTTATGCTTATCACAGTTTCTTACTGGTTAAGGAGTCTGTTTTTTGTTTCAATTTTTCTGTTTTTGTTTTATGCAGTGATAGTTCACAAATCTACTTTATTTCTGTCTGATATTTATTTAAAAAAATCAATGGGCAAGACAGGAATTTTCTGTTTTCAGTCTAACATGGACAAGTCAGCGTGCAAAATGTTCGCCCTTTTTTTCAACGTTGCATGCATATTGAATTTTAATGCCTCCTTGCTAGTGAGAAAAGTTGAAACAATGGACCATTTAAGAACTGTACTATACAAAGCAAATTCACCCATCTAACCTCTTTCTCGTAAGCATTTTAAGTACTTTATCCAATAGTAATATGTTTGGTCTGTGTACAAAGCCTTTCCATTTAGTACAGAACACACTATGTCTTAAAACAAATGTAGAAGGTGTATATATTCTTGTTCGTCCATCTGTCCAACTGTTGCAGCTGGCTAAAGATTTGCTTTGAGTTTAAGAATGCGTAGTTTTCAAAAGAAATAGTGGGGTATACTTGTTCAATAAACACATTTCAAGATCTTAAACTATTGTAATTATTTCACAAGAATGAAATTATCTTGCTAACTTTAAACAAAGATTGTTGAATAAAGAATCACAGCTTTAATCAAATTTAATAATGATTATACTGTTTTACAATGGGATAATGGTAATTTGATTAATTTTCCTCTGCTAATTTCCTGGACAAATGCATTATATTTGATTTCTGTCTAAGCGAATCAAGTTTTATGAGCCAATGTCAGACCCACCATGTCTTCTTTGATTAGACCTACTTGGGATTCTTGGTTTTCTAATACAATTTTGATATATGGACACTTGGAATTCTTGGTTTTCTATTACAATTTTGATACATGGATTCAATTTAGATGGCCTTGTTTATCTAGAAATAATTGCTGCAACTACTATCCAGAAAAAGTATTTGCAAATTTAACAAAAAAACTTTCCAAGTTTTATCTTAGAATAATATAATGATAAAATAAACAAGACCAACACGTAGAATGTGTGACCAGTTTTGCTTTATTGCTTCATCTGACTGAATTCAAACCGAATTCAATATCATTATGTCATTAAATATATTCTGTTTCTAAGTGATCAATAATAGAAATAATGAGTCTTTGTCATTAACAAATATTTGACATGGAAACATGCATATACAGCACAGATTAATGATATTTTAATAAATAAAATATCTAAAACTGGATCTTATAAGATACATATATCTCTAATGCACATTTGAATAAAATGCAATTATATATATATATATATATATATATATATATATATATATATATATATATATATATATAGATAGATAGATAGATAGATAAGTAGATAGATAGATAGATAGATAGATAGATAGATAAGTAGATAGATAGATAAGTAGATAGATAGATAGATAGATAGATAGATATAAATCATTGACAAATGTTCACTATTTGTTGTTGTCAGTGTTATAGTGACCTATGCACTGAGTGCTTCGTGACTGGTTAGAGTCCTGAGCTGGACTGTTGGCCCCAAGCAGGACTGTTGGCCCCAGACTGGGCTCATGGCTCATGGCCCCAGGCTGGGCAGAGCAAGAGTGGTAAGAAAGGTGCCTTTGCCACTCTTGCAGATCTTTGACCTGAGCTTTCTCCTATCATCGTGTACAGCAACAACATGTCCAGCAGTGGGGCAAGGGAGGGGAGGGAATTGGGGGCAGGCAGCAAAAAAATGTCACATGATTTGGGTCAAATTAAGCCCATTTGTGCTATTGGACCGCCTTATAACAGTATTGTGTTAGCCACCTGTGCAATCAGTCACTCACTAGTTTTGGTTGTGAATTTTGAATATGTGTGAGTTGGAATTAGATGTACTGAGTGCACTTATATAATGAAAGTGATTTCCAATCTGGTAAGGGGTAAGCCCTCTTAGAATATTTAGAGTAAGTAGGTTATTTGTTAGCTGTTGTTGTGTTTTAGATGGGGGTCTAAAGGATCCAGTTAGGTTTGTGTCCCAGGTCCTCCTGTGCCAATTTGAAGACCCTAAAGTTGATTTGTGGGGGGGATACTTTTTCTAGAAAAAGGCATTGTTTGCTGTCCGGAAGGGTCTTATGGGGCAGCTTGCAGTGCCATCTGGACTGCCCCTTACCTTTGAGCTTGTCTTGGGGAGTTTGTGGGGCAGTAGGCCATACTGCCCCAGTGCTTAAGCTTTTCCAGAGCTTGTGCTCTTCCGGAGGGGCAGGGGATTTATGGGTCAGCAGGCTGTTCTGCCTGGACTGTCCTTTCACTTTGTGTTTGTCTGAGAGTTGGGGTTTGTGGGGCAGTAGGTTGAGCTGCCTATTTGCCCCTTGAGTTGAAGTGTGCCTGGCAATTTTAAGTTATTTGTGTCTTTTTGTATTGGCATTCTTGTTTGTGTGGTAATTTAAATCTTTTCTGAGTGGTAAGTTGTATTGATGTGGTATTGTACAGCTTTTCCTATACATTTCTGGTTTTGGTTGCAAGCTGTAGGCCTTTTTGTGAGGCGAGGGTGGTCGGGTGTTTGAGTCCTTACTGTTTTGCTTATGGGTCTCTCGTTTCATGTGTGTATTGGTGTTGAGTCATGTTTTGTGAGCTTGTGTCGTTTTGGTCATTTGTCGTCAAGTCTGGTTTGTAGTTTTAGTGGTAGGTTGTGTTATGGTAGGGGTGGTTAGTATGGAAGGGTTGATGGAGTGTTAGCGTGGTTGTTCAGGTTGTGTTATTTTTTTAAAATCTTTTAATTTGTTTATGTCCTTTAGATATTTTATTATGTTTTGGTAGGTGAGATCGGAAATTTTGTCTTAAGTTGGGGTTGAGCATGTTCAGGTAGGTCATGGGTGCTCCAGTTTTCTGCTGGTAGTCATTCACAGAATTGTTTGCTTGGTGGTATTTGCTACATTTGTTGAAGATTTGTTGGAGGGTTTTCATGTGAGGGGAAATGTGGGCATTTCTGGTCTGTATTTTGTCTGTCCAATAAGTATTTTCCAAAACGGGGTTGTAGAAGGGTTTTGCCTGTTTTTAGACTGTTGAATATTTGTTCCTTTGAGTTTTTTGTATTTGTTGATGGCTCTGGATAATTTAGGTTTAAGTTGATAGAATTGGCATCCTTTGCTGGTATTGGTCCAGTGAATTTGCCACTTAATGTTGAAGTGTTTCCTTACATGGCTGAATAATTTGTGTGTGTGTTATCTCCCAGTGGTTGGATTTGGGTGTGAATAAGGTTTCAAGAAGATGCCAGGTCTGCTTTGTTGAGGGTACCCATTGGAAGTCGACTATGAGTGTAGCTGCCTTAAGAGCAGTCAGTGTGTGTTCCAGTAGATTTGGTCTGTCTTAGGTTGTGTTCGTTGACAGTGTGTGTTCCAGTAGATTTGGTGTGCCCGTTGACAGTGTGTGTTCCAGTAGATTTGGTCTGCCTTAGGTTGTGCCCGTTGACAGTGTGTGTTCCAGTAGATTTGGTCTGCTTTTGGTTGTGCCCGTGGACAGTGTTTGGAAAACGCTGAGGAAATCTGTGATAATGAGATATTGTGGGTTTGTTTGGCTATTGATTCAAAATAAGGGCTTGTTTTTGTATGTGGAGCACCTGTCAGGTAATCTTGCCTTATCTTGTGGTTGAGTTCTAGGATTACTATGGCCGCTGCTTTTGTGTTGCTTTCTATGGATCTGGATCTGTCAGTGTAGATTTTAATGTATTGTTGGCTTTGGCTTTCTAAGATGGAGTTGATGGTAGTAAGAAGTTTTCATGGGTTGTGTTGTTTGTTTTACTTGCCTTTGAGCGTGAGGTTGGTGGTTTCTTGTTTCTCCATGGTGATACGTCGCGGAAAAGACATTGCTCGGCCTGTAATGTTAGGTGAGGATTAGTTTTTTTGATTGTGTGTATTTTGTTGCAGGCTGGTGGGTTGGGCATTCGTTTGGTGAGGAAGCAGGTGTTGCATTTTTGGAATGTTATTTTGGTTGGGTTGGTGTCTATTAGAGTAGTATTTTGTATTGTATATCTCAGTAGTTCTTCTCGCCTGAGGTGTTGGGGAAGATCGCTGTGAGGATTTGTATTTCTCCATTGAGGTGTTAGGCGGAGTGCCTGTGCAGAGGTAGAGTGCTCAGTACTGTATGTTGTCTAGCTTTTTAAGTAGGTGTGGGTTGGCGGAGTTGGCAGCCATAATTTAGTTTGGATCTGATGAGAGCCCTGTAGATGAACAGGAGGGTCTGTTGGTGTGCTCCCCGTTTGGTGCCTGTAAGGTGTTTGATTAGGTTGAAATCATGTTTGCAACATTGGATGAGGTTGGTAATGCGTGGTGTCCGTGTTAGTCGATCGTCAAAGATTACTGCTAAGAAGTAAGTTTGGGTTGCAAAGGTGATTATCTGTCCTTGCAGGTAGTGTTTATGGTTGCTGGCTTGCTGCTGGGATGGGGGAAAAGAGTATTTTGGCGGTTTTATCTATTGAGATCTTAAATCCCCAGGTGGTGTCTCATGTGGTGATGAAATCCATGTTGTTGTGAAGTTGTTGGATGTATGTGGTGTTATTCGGGTTGCCCTTCTTCCAAATTCAGCTATCGTCGGCGAATTGTGATAGAGCGGTATCATCCTTGATATAGTATGTGATGTTGTTTAGTACTAGGTTGAATAGCGTTTGGCTGATGAGACTGCCTTGCGGGGTACCGTTTTCTAATGTTTGGCTGAGGGTGAGGTCGTTTCCGATCCATACTTTTAAGTGTCTGTCAGTGAGGAAGTTTTCAATCTATTGATGTAGCCTCTCCT